AATAATAATAATAGGATTTAGGGTGCAAAGCCGTTAACACGTATTACCTAGGGAAATACGTGTTGAACTTCTTTCATAGAACTTACTTCCAAAGAAATAACACGCACTGTAAGACTGAAATCCAAATGGCAATTCTAGGTAGAAAGAACTATCCTATTATAGTTACAGAATGTAGAAAGAAATGCATGTGTTCACTTGGAAATGCTCCTTTTGAGCTCAGTGGGGCTTACTCCCGTGTAAACATGGGTAGAATCAAAGCCTATGGCTTCGTATCATTTCATTAGGCAGAAAACAAATTGTATGTACTGTAATCCCTTTGCTCTCACATGCAAATGATTTTTGCTGTTTGCATTTTTTTTTTGCAATGCACAGAAAATATTTCTTGAAACTTGGGCAGCCAAGCAAAATTTAAAGGCAATTTGCCTTTTAATTCCTCTCCGTGCCCTTCATTTGGCACCCACCATAGCGCTGGGCTTTTGAGTCCCTAGAAAGAAACGAGGAAGGATCTGTTTTTATATCTCCAGATTTGCCTTCAGGAATCCAAAATTCGAAATCCGAAGCCAGAGGGATTCTTTGCTCTTATAACGGGTCTAAGACTGGGGTGGAGGTGGGTGGGGGGAAGGGCAGGACAAATCTTCAAGCTCCAGAGCTCAGTTTATGGGTTGTTCCTTGCACCACTGCTTCTACTCCACCCCCAAAGCTGCCTTCCCGCCCCCAACGACCCTCGCAGTGCCTCCCAGTGCTGGAGAAGACTCAAAGTAATTTCTATGCAAATCATTGCTCCTTATGGTCAAAGACTCCAGTTCCGAGCGTGCCAATTCGATTTGCCTCCGGATTTGCCTCCGGATAGACATGCTATGCACTGAGGGAGTTCTAGGATATTCTGTGGTGTAGGGAAGCAGAATCAGGACCTCCGTTACGGGAACAGATATACGTATACGGAGTGCTCTCGACATCGATTTATATATACGCAAATTCTATCTACAGAAAAGAAACCACCACCTAGTCTGGTAGCGACGTGGGCAAGAAACCAATTCCTTCATTTCAAATTGGCGGTACTTTCTCCATATAATGCAGCCTGTATATTCTATGCTACGGACATGTATATTCAATTAAGGAAAATGCGTAGGTTTCAATGATTACCACCGCCACAAGCCATTACAACATGAACCTATGAAATAAATACTTATCCTAACCTGCCCACATATTTTAAATCCGAGAAACCAAGAGCTTTTCTCTCTTTCACATCGGGAATTACTGCTGTTTGCTCCAGACGTCAGACCCTGCGACGTTACTTCAGTACCAAACAATAAATTCAGAAAACCAGCCCGGTTTTTTTTCTGAGTCTGCAAAGCACAAAGAGGTCCCGCAGGTGCGCGTGCGCGCCCACCGGCGCGACTTTATCTAGCTTTTCACTCAGCCCCGAAGATGGGTGAGCTCCCTTACCTGTTTTAATGGCGTATTTTAACGCGGTCCTGCAATGTAGGAGAATTTCTTCCATAGTCTGGGGTTGATCAGACAATTCCCAGTTATATTCCTGAAGAAGCTCGTTTGGATAATGGAAATCAATCACTTTGGTTGAGCGATCAAAATTTGTCACCAGGTACTGGAGCAAAATGTCCACAACATCTTGTAGGAAAGACAACGTAGCTGCTTCTCCCTCAGAGTTTGGCAGGAGATCTGGAAGGAGGGAGAGAGGAATGAAATATGACATTGGTTTTGGAAAGTGTAAAAAACAACAACAAACCGCTGCGGTGTAAAAGCGAAATCTGTTGTGTGTCCCCCCTTTTAAATGTTCTTCATTCAGGTTTGGGGAGAATTCACTGGAGTTGAATGATTTATATCCCATAAACAAAATAGCCCCCCGGGAAATATAAAATCCATGTTTCCCATGGAAATGTAAAATCTTTCTTTCTGTTATTAAATGAATCTCTAATAATAATTTAATCTGTGTTGCTGGAAAATATACTCACGCTGTATATCTGAAGGTTTTTTAAACTAGTTTTTCCACAAAAAGAGGAAATGTGAAATGTTATAAAACCATTATCATCATGATAATGCCTTGTGTCTGTAATAATGTGAGATTCCCCTTAACACAATCTTGACACTTATGTCGTCTATTGACAATATGCCTGTCCGCAGATTTAAATCACTCTTGTCTGCTGTCCCTCCTTGTGGTGCTGAAACCAGGACGACTTTGAGAATGAACCTAGAGTACTATCCTTCAGCGTTGGTAGCTGGCACCGTGGGCCAGAAGGCCATTTGTTGGTTATTGCCATTCACGGCTGAAGGTTTGGGAGGGATTTACTGGAGTAGAATGATTTATATGCCATAAACATACTTGTTGGTAAGAACCTATCGAATTAATAGTCTGATTCCGATTTCTGCAAAACAAAGAAAACCAAACACGCTTCTTAAAAGGTCTTTTGTGCATATCACTCCTTCCTCAAGGACAGCTATAGCGGGATTTCAGATGTTCAATCTGGAAGGTTCCTAAAATAAATGACTATTTTTTTAAAAAAATAATTGTGTCCAAAGGGTCAGAGCAAGGCACAGATTTCATGTAGGACCTCCGTGTACTTCCCTTGCACGGCATCACGATTATTTTAAAAAAACCAAAAAACACCTCCATTCTTCCAAATGGATGCAAGATTGAAATATCATCGCCTATATAGTTTCAGCGTATATGTATGTCTATATGTGTTGTCTCCAACCCTTTCCAGAGGGATACCAGGGGGTTTCAGGCAGACTTGTTTACCCTGAAAAGAACAGTGCATCCCTTTCAACGAAGTCAAGGGAAATGTTGCCGCTGACTTTAATGAACCAGGTGCAGAGCCTGGAAAGGTTGTACTTTGGAAGCTCTGTGCTGGTGGGGGATTCTGGGAGTTGTAGTCCAAAAAAAGTAACATTTCCTAGCTCTAACCACGGCTGTTTTGCATTCCACTGCAAGAGTTTACTTGCAGAGTAGGAGGGATGTGTGTGCTTGGACAAATGGGTCGTTTGGAAAACATATACTCAGCTTGACCCTCGCCTTCCCACCCCGACTCCATCTAGACGGCTGTTACCTGAGGCGTGTAAAAAAGCATAATTAATGTCTTCTTTCTGGCAGCCGCAAGGCTTTTTATTGCAGCTGCAAGCCGCCTTTCTCAACGTCGGTTCCTCCTTAGTAGCTCCGGTTTCCATGGGTTTGTCCCCATCTCCGTACAGCAGCGCTAACAAAGACACAAAGGGCGAAGCCTAAATTGCCCAGCGGAGGTTAAAAGAGGCTCACAGTTATACACACGCACGCACACACAGACAGAGCGCCTTCTCCATTCCGAGCAGCTTTGAGTTCTGACACTCAAAGATAAACCGAATCATCTTTCAATTTACTTTGACAATCCTTGGATTCTTACGAATTTTTGCGGCCAGATAGTTGTTTTCCTGATTAAACACCCGTTCCGATTTTTAATGATAATACGTGATTTGGAGAACCCGAGATGTTCTTCTCTCTTACCACAGAGTTTGGTAGAAATGCCTCCTGTAAACTTCTGGGCAGCCTGACACCAAGCTTTTGCTGTAGGATGAGGGCGGGAAGAAAAAAACAACAACACAAAAATATAGGATCAGAAGCGTCACGTTTTGAGCGGCATCTAGCAGAGCTGTGCTTCTCCCCCGCCTCTGCCCCTCTCCAACCCCGAGAAAGTCATTCTAGAGCAGACAGATGCTTTGTTCTCTGGTTCTCTCTACTGTCCGAGCTTTGGTTAGGATTTGGCGCAGATGTTCGTGTTCTACCGTGATTGCCATTCAATTGAAATCCTATGATCGCTGAGATTGGAATAAGTCCCCTCGAAATGGGGGGGGGGTTTATTCCCGACTCAACACGTTTAGGATTGCATCTGCGCGCGTGTGGCTATAAGCAAGCACAGTCTTTTGCATCCAAAAGGATCAATCAGTCTCCAGTCCAGGAGGAAAGGCGTACAATATCCTAAATCCTCGGATGGGGTGGGAGAAGGATTGTTTTTCCTTTTCGGACCCGTGTCCGCGCTTTCCTCCCGCCTCTTGCTACCCTCCCTAAAGCCCTCTGTGTTTTGGCGCCGCTCTTCCTTTTCCCAGCCAGGTCGGATCCAGTTAGCCATTAAAAACCTCCCACTGAACTGCCTTGCCCTGAGTGGCCCTCCTGCCCTCCCTTCCCCTCCTTGGCCGCCGCCACCCGCCGTGGCGCGCAAGTGAAGCCGGCCGGCTGCGCCTCCCGAAGGTCGTGCCCAGGCGGGTCCTCTTGGCTGCCTCTCCGAGGGATCCGTGCCGAAGGGACGCCGTCTCCGGAGGAGGAGGAACAGGTAGCAGCGGCTCCCTCGTCCTTTCCAGGGCGGACAAAAGGTCGGCGCTGCCGGGCGAGGTGGCCACGGAAGAAGCCCGCCAAGTCCGCTCCGGCGGAGGTGACCCGGTCTTGGGGGAAGCGGCGGGGAACTTGGCGGAGGCAGAGACGTCGTCGCCGTCCTCCTCGTCCTCCTCGTCGGTGCCGGGCGGAGTGGCGGGAAGCGGAGGAGGGGGGAGCGCCCTACCTGGACCGGGGTTGTCCGGGTCTCCGGAACCCTCTTCGGACCCGAAGGACCAAAAGCCCGCGCCGGGAGCTGCCATCTGCCGAGCTGGTTGAGGGGCTGGGGAAGTGCAGCGAGCGCGCCTCAGACCGACCGAGCCCGGGTGAGTGAGCGCACGCGTGTGTGTGTGAGTGTGAGTGTACGTGTGTGACAGAGGCGGCGCGTGTGCGAAAGTGCGGGAGCCAGCCAGCCAGGGAAGGGGAGGAGGGGGAGGAGGAAGGAGGAGGGCGCGAGCGAGAGGAGCGCGGGTCCCGAAGTGCGTGCGTGCGTGCGCGTGTGAATGCAAGTGTGACCGGGCTGCGGCTGGCTGGGCGAAGCCGAGGACGAAGCAGCCGAGCGTAGCTGGACGCGCCAGACACACTGGAGCGGGCGAGGGCGGGAAAGGGCAGGAGAGAGGGAGGAAAGGCGCTCAGCGCGCCTCAGGGTGTCGGCCGGCTTCCTTTTCCCTCCTCCGAGTCCACAGGACTGAGGCGAGGGCGCTGGAAGTGGAGACGCGGGGACAGGGCTTGACCCCTCGGGGACCTCAGGCGCGCAGTGGGGGCCGGGCGCGCTCCTGCCGCTGGGTCTGGAGAGCCACGACTCCCCCGGAGGCGGCCAAGGCTGTCCTCCACAGGAGCCGTCGTGGGGGCCCTGGCGAGGACCTCGAAGGAGCCCTGAACCCACGCGGGGGTGGGAGTGGGGAGCGGAGGGCGGGAAAATTGCCTTCTGGGGACAGAGCGCGCCCGCGCGTGAGGCGATATGGAGGGAAAACGAGGCCGGGGAGAAGCCTGGTGTCGTCAGATCTGTTGGCACGCAAGAAAAGAGAGGGGTCTTCCAGGGTCGGTATTGCCTTCTGGGGACAGAGCGCGCCCGTGCTTGAGGCGACGTGGAGGGAAAAAGAGGCCGGGGAGAAGCTTGGTGTCGTCAGACCTGTTGGCACGTAAGAAAAGAGAGGGGTCTTCCAGGGTCGGTTGGGAGCCAGAAGGCTCCTTTTTGCATTTCTCAGGCATTTACGAATCTGTCAAGTGACCTTGTCCACCAGGAGAAATAGTATGGTCGATTCCACAAGTGAATGAAGGTCTCTAGCCATCCTGACTGGTCGCGACTGCTCTTTCCACAAGAAAAACACACATATCCAACTTATTTGCAGGTTCATAAGGTACCACTGTTAAATCTGCTCAGGAGAAGTTAACAACTCAGGTTTAACAATCCACAAGGAAAGGCAGCTGTCAAAGGTGGAGATAAGGGACTACATTCAAAGGAATTTAAAAAAACTGCAGCACAAGAATATGCCACTGGCCTTTAGGGAATATAAATGGACAGTTGTATCTGATGCTATAGCTTCTGAAATGTAAAAGAAGGAGCAACACCCCTGCCCAACTATAGATTGTCTGTGCAGGAAGCAAATTTGAGTGGTCCAGACTGGATGCTTCAATGGTTTAGGTGTGGCTGCAGAGTGGGGGGGGGGCTGGGAGTTTGATTCCACACTGTGCTATGGATGCTTCAATGATTTAGGTGTGGCTGCAGAGCCAGGGGCTGGGAGTTTGATTCCACACTGTGCTTCTGGGAGAAGAGCCAGCCTGTGTGGCCTTGGGCAAGCTGCACAGTCCCAGGGCACCCTCCCAGAAGAAGGGAATGTTGAACTACTGAATATTCCCCAGCTGGAAAACCCTGGAAAGGGTCGCCATAAGTCAGAATCGACTTGACATCACACAACTATTATTATTAGTAGTAGTATTCAGAAACACCAGGCACAGTCAACATTATAAAAACATTGACTGGTATTAAATGACAGATACAAGTTTTAACCAAAAACCTAAGTATGTGTTAAATGTCGGCACGGTATTATACTGTTCCTAATATTGCCGTTTTTTGTAACTCTGATGGTGCGATTTCTGAGATTTGCAACTGCTTATAGGACTGGGTGAAGTTTCTTGATTTTGTTCCCACAGCCCCAATGACAATCATCATAATCATCACCATCATCATCATCTCTGGAGTCAAAGGCAGTGTCACAACCTTTCAGCCCCTTTCCAGGCTTGTTAGCATAAATGATCGGTATAATTCTGTGCATCCCGGTGATCACTGTGGTGATCGTTGCCACTATGGAACGTAGGAAACAGCCTTGTACCTTGTCAGGCCATGGGCCATCTGAGTCAATATTGTCTATATTTTGAGGCAAGTAAAGAGCGTAACCTTTCCCTGCTGTGCCTAGAGATGCTGATGATTGAACTTGGGACATTCTACATAGAAAACATGTGCTCCACCCTTCTACCCTACTCCTTAAAACCATTTTGCTTTCAGAGAACAGGTGTGGTTCTCAAGGACAAAGGGACAGGCCTCTCTCGGAGTTAAATGTTAACCTAGATTTGAAAATATGTTTATAAAAAATACTAGCCTTGGCCCCCACTGCAGTAAACCTTTCTGTATAATGATGTTTTACCTGCTGGAAGAACACATGCCATGAGTTCCTGTCAGAAAAAGTGTGGAGCAGTTCATCACAAAGACTGACCTTCCAGTTAGATAAGAGTCTTTTCCTTTGCAGATTGCTGATAAACTACTTCCAGGAGAATCTAGTGGTGATGTTGTAACAAGTTCGCACTGCCCTGGGAGCAGTCTGTGTAGAGAGACACATTATGAGACATTTGCTGCTTCCTGTGTGCAGAATGACTCACATATTATTTGGGAAACAGCAGTGTTAGGGGGGTGAGCGGTGGAAATATATCAACGACACCAGTGGTTTTCAACCTTGGGTCCCCAGGACAACTCCCCAAAATCCTGGCCAGCACAGCTACTGGCAAATGCTTCTGGGAGTTTTAGTCCAGGACCATCTGGAGACCCAAGGTTAGGAACCACTGCCCTACATTACTGCTACCATGAAGAGCGTGGGAGGAAGGTTTCATGTAAAACCATATGGGTGGCTTTCAACATGTAGACTAATATTTAAAACTCCCGACTCCTAATTCAGGTTTGGAGACGTTGTGGCTCTCCAAATGTTTCTGTAGTGCAAGTTGCTTCAGCTCTTGCCAGCATAGCCAGTAGTAAGAATATGGAAGATGCAGTCCAATAACACTTAGAGGATCGCATATTCCCCATCACCATCTTAATCCATGCAAGATCTCTGGTTCATCCCTGTATAATACAGAAACAGGAAGCACTGTCTTAGATTGCAAGCACCCCAGACCATCCAGTTGTTTCTTGACTGCAGCATCAACTATTCCACCCCATTGATGACTAGAGCTGATATAAACTGCAGTCCAGCCATATCTGAAAGGCCATGGATTCTCAAATTGGTGAAAGTTGAGGAACCTTTACCTTCTGGTCTGCTGCTTTCTTTCTTTCTACTCTGTTCAAAAAGCAGCTTCAGGGCTGGCTCATCATGTCAGTAAACAGGTGGTAGAACAGGAAACCTCAGTTGGCTGGTTGAAGAACACATTTGTGAGTTAATGAACTGCAGAGACAAATGTATTAGTCTCTCCATCAAGCAGTGATGGAAGCATTAAGGGCCAACTCTGGAGTGACTAGAAACCAGAAAAATACTTGCAGCAGACATAAGTGTTCCTAGATCTCAGGTATTCTTTTTTTAGATTCTCAGAGTTGAATGGAAGGGTGGGATATGTTTTGCCATACTATTTTTAAAAATGACAGAATCATGTGTTCTACAGAATTAATGGCTATTTAAGGTATGAGCTTATTCTTTTAAAATTAAGGGTTGTCTTGCAATGTTGTGAGAGAAAGCTGAGAATAAAGAACATGTGACCCTACAGTCCTAACTGGACCTCCCCACAGCCCTACACAGAACAGATAGTGGTTGAAAATACTGGGAGGTGCAATCCACAATGTAAGGACTGTGAACTGCCTACCCCTGCTTTAATGGTTAGCAACTTATTTTCTCCTTATTTTCACTGGGAGAGCAGCGTGTAGGGCAGGAAAATCATCCCACTCTCTCTAGCTGGGATCCTAATGAAAATAATTGCTCATGTGCCCAGGCTAATTGCAGAACACTCTCTTGTGTGCCTCATGTGGCACTGATGCTCAGGCTAATTGCAGAACACTCTCTTGTGTGCATTATGTCAGGAGAGAGAAGGATTAAATCTTCCAGTGACAATCTGCCCCCTCCATTTTAAATGGAAAAAAATAAACCAAGAGGTGCTTGCTAAGCACACAGTTAACAGGAAGGTCTAGTTTTACTCTCACACATCTCAAGAGTTGGTGGCTTCATAGTGAAGATTTTCTGTATAATGTCCTTACGGAAGTCATGGGGATTACATGTGGGTTATCATAGGAAGTCAAAATAGATACAGAAAGAGAGTATGAATGAAATAGAGGCACTTGTTCAAGGCTCCAGAATGAATGGATGCTAAGGTTTAATCACAGCAGGCCATTCTGGCTGGGGATTTGAGGAGCTATAGTCCAAAGAAGTGGTATTCTCAAACTTTGATCTTGACTGCATCTGAACATGAAACAAACAAAACAAACTCTTGGTTGTGTATATGAAACAGAAGAGGTTCCTCCCTTATTCCTGCCTACCATGGGACAGGTTATATTTTCTGTAAAAATATCAAACTGCAGACAATGTTCACCTTTTTTTCTTGGACGGCACATCTAGTTCTTTGAACAGCATCAATAACCCACATTCAACCTGTGTGTATCCTGCAACTACTTCACATCTTGAGTTCATTAGAACAAGCAGTCCCTTGCTCTCCTTTAAAAATTGTAAAATTGAAGGGAAAACAAGACTCTTTTCATGAAAGGCCACGGCTGGCTTTGGACTGGCTTCTAGCACACAGTTGACAAGCATATAAAAATAAAATTGGAGCATGTGTTCAGTGCAAAAGAATCTTAGACATTCTGCTCTCACCAACAAAGTTTATCCATAACTAGGATGAAATTAAAAATGTTCTACATGTGCCCACCTCCTCTTCATTTACCCATAATTTCTATAGTGCTTCTAGTACTACAATGTGCTTTCATCTCACTCCCACAATAACCCTGTAATCTAGAGAGACCATTAATCACATCCCCATTTTAGAGATACGGGCTGAGAGAGATGGGCCCAAACTATACATTACAGAGAACCTAGCACTGAAAGAGGGATTCTTTCTGTGCTGAAATTATATGATTGTTACTACAGGAACTTTTCACATATCCCATACTTTGCCAATTAGCTTGCTTTGTTTTTAAAAATAGTAGCTTCCCAACTCTGAAATTTGTCTCCATCTATGGTCCTGTTTTTCTCTATTATCTCAATTTTTCAATTAAAAAGGCAGAAAGTATGCTAATAAAAGCCAAAGGTGGTAAGTATCTTTCAATTTCAGCTGCATGAAACGCCTCTAAACATTCACGGTACGTTGGGATGTGTGTAGCTCTCAGTTATGGAGAGCATACTAAGAGATTCTTTCAAAACTGTGTATTTTCTCTTTCTGCCACTCATTAAAAAATGATGTGCTGTAGAATATTTCACTAGTCATTTCAGCTGGCAGCTGAGGGGCACCTGGTTTGAAAATGGGAGGAAATCTCTCTTCCCTGCTGTGCAGAGAACCTACCAGTCAATTATAAATCGCTCATGCAGAAACTGGAATGTTAGCAACATTCAGTATCTCCATTTGTTTCAGAAAATGGGAAATTATTGAAGAATTTGTTTCCGTTCTCCTCAATGAAACTGGGGGGAGGGGGAACAAACTAATCCATATATTCTTAACCATTGTGTATCCTTAAGGAAATGAAACAGTTAATAAGATGGGGATCCAAATACACAATGATATGATCGTTAAGTTCTAAGGGAGGAAACCCACCTCTAGCTACAAAGGATGTAAATTATTGCTGATGCGAAATATCCATTCTTTTTCTCCAAGAACTTCCACAGGATTTTAGTACTGCTCTTTTCAAAATGGATGGTAGTTGTGTATTGTTCAAAAAAAAAATCTGATAGAATTTATCGTGTTTCTCTGAAAATAAGACAGGGTCTTCTATTAATTTTTGCAGGAGGGGCTTATTTTCAGGGAATGTTTTACTTTTTCCATGTACAACTACAGTGGTGCCTGGCTTGATGAGGATAATTCGTTTTGTTCAAATTGCTGTTAAGCGAAATCTTCATCAAGCGAAACGAAAAAGCCCATTGAAATGCATTGAAACCAGTTCAATGCGTTCCAATGAGCTAAATACCTCAGTATCCAGCGAAGATCCTCCATAGGGGTGGCCATTTTCAGTGCCTGTAAAGCGAGGAATCCGTCCTAAATCACAGCAGGGGGCCATTTTGCACAGCGGGTGACCATTTTAGAGCTGCCGATCAGCTGTTTTAAAAATGTTGTCTAGCGAAAAATCGGTTCCTGAAGCAGGGAACCGATCATTATTACGCAATTTTTCCCTATTAGAACATTTGTTTTGTGATCGCAAAAACTTCATCGGCAAGCGGTTTCGTCATTTAACGAGGTAATCGTTAAGCCAGGCACCACTGTATCTACATTTGTTCAAATAAAGTCATGCCATCTTCTTCTGGTTGCTGCACAATGGTGGAGGGCGGGGTTTCACTTAACTAGAACTTATTTTGGGGGTTGGGCTTATATTACGGAGCATCCTGAAAAGTCATACTAGGGCTTATTTTCAGGTTAGGTCATTTTCGGGGAAACAGGGTACTACTCGTATCACACATTAAAGATCTGTGTTGGTTTTTTCCCCCTTTCTCTCTTTTCTGTACATACTTGGTAATCAGTGTACCAAACATTGATTCAAAACATAGTTCCTTATTAAATTGTATAATCTGCCTCAATACAATTTCCAGATGTTTCCATTTTGTTGTTTATTTGTTTACATTAATCTTGTGCATAGATGTTTCATAGGTCAAAGCCGACTGGAAAACAAACTGACACAAAACAAAGACCCATTTTAGAAATCAAATTTGTTGGGAAAGTATAGAAAAATGGGGAGACGAGGAGAAAACGGATTTGTTTCTTCACATTATCTAGGCTTTTAATAAGTTATTGCATACTAAGAAAATAATTTGCACATGTGTGTCCATTTTCTTTGAAAACAACAAATTGCTATTTAAATCATGACATATTTCCCTGCAAGGATCTTCTATAGTAATTGTATGTTGAAATGTCATATGCAAAACCACACAGTTGAATTAAAATGCTGAAGAGAGAGTGACAAAGAGACACATTAAAAAGAGAAGGACACAGTACAAAACCATATAAAAAAGGAGAGATTACGCTGGAGAAAGCCAAACAGCAGCAGTAGCTAATGCTGTTGGATAAGGCGCCGGCGTTGTGAGGTTTTCCGTAGCAGTTTTCGGTAGTCATAAGGATTCTCTTTGCTTTTGTTCTCTTCCACTGGGTTCACTGTGACTCTTGGCCTAGGGATTAAAGTACAGGAGAAACCAGAGGTTGAACATATTTACTTTGGTAAGTATTGCTGATGAACTGCTTAAGCCCTGTCTTCAGCAAAAAGCAATACAAAAGTAAGTCAGCTGTTTCACTCCACTCCCCATCATCTTGTAACAACAGGTGGAGAGAAGCAGATGAGAGAGACACATCAATTCAGCATTCTCTGAATTCTCTGCTTAATAGGCATGCATTTGGAAACTAAGAGGAGATAATAAACATGTTGGGTTGATAGGAAAGGACTCTTTGCATACTGCCCAGTCACTGAGCTTCAGAAAGGGAGTGAGTACACAGCGAGGGAAATGCGAAATGACTTGCATTCTCTTGCTGTGAAGTCACATTGGTGGGGATTCAGTTATCTTAAGTGGCCACACAGGCAGAGGAGTAAAAAGCCTTCTAATTGCAGTTCTATTGCACTTCTATGGAAGCACCTACAGGTGGTGTGGTTCAAAGGAACTGCCTTAAGAAGGCTTTTCCTGCCTGGATTACTATTTATTTATTTGGCTTCTAGACCCCCGACTTAGTAAAGTACTACTCAGGGCGGTTTACATAATTTCCTCATTTTTCCAACTGGATATCTTGTTAAACTGTATACAAACAAACAAACAAACAGAGCTCTCCCCACCCAGGAAACACTTTAAAAAGTGTCTTGGGAAAGAGGCTTTGCAGAGAGAGGTGAAAGCTCGTTCTGATTGTGTGTACGTGCATGTGTACATGTGTGTCTGCACTCTCCTTGTGCTCCCTTGTGAGGATCACATGCTTTTGAACCAAAGCAAAAGGATTCAACTTGCTAAAAAGTAGAAAGGTCTCTGGCGAGGGGGAAATGCGAAGCAGCCTGCCTCAAACATCCTATATTTGTTTCTGTAGTCACGTTTTGTTAAAATGCAAACTCAAGGCTGGATAAGCATCCTCCAGGAATATCTGAGAAATAATAATAACAATAACAACAACAGCTGACAAGTTGATTTCAGTTATGGCAACCCTTTCCAGGGTTTTCTAGTTACAGAGTAGTCAGAAATGGTTTACTATTGCTCCCTTCTGGGGGCACTCTGGGATTCTGCAGCTTATCCAAGACTACCCTATTTTAGAACAGGGGGTCAAACTAAATGTCTTCATAACCCTATATGCTGTCTAAATGAAAAAGAAAGATGGAATGCTGTTGCACAAAAGAATTTACATCTCGAGATTTAAACCTCCTGAACATTTGGTTGGATCTCATTGGAAAGTATATTTGGGATGATAAGCATGTTTTGATGTCTATATCATCACAGTTATCAGTGAGGCATTCTCGCTTTGAGGTTGGCTCATCGATTATGAGAAGCTGGACTTTTTCATGTAATACTTCCATGAAGATGCATTTATATTCTTTTCATTGACGAGTTCCAAACAAAGAGTGTAAGACCTGTTACTTGACCTGTTACTTTACAAAGGCTATTGAACAGGCTGGAAATCTTAATTAGTGGTGTGAACCTGGTGGTTTTGGACTGCAATTCCCATTAGTCCTAACCAGCAGTAGCAAATAGTGAGCAATGATAGGAACTGTAGTTTAGCAGCATCCAAGCGCCACACTTTCCCTATCCCTGATTTATGGCCTGTGCCACTGTGAGCTCCGATTATGCCATCTGATCCTATGCATGTTCACTTGGAAGCAAGACTCACTCTGTTGAAACTGTGTATAGGCATGCAGCCTTAGGGTCAAGCTAGATATTAAAGGAAAAGTTTTCCCTCCCTATTAATTCACTCCCTTCCCCTGCTGTAGCAATGGAATTTCCCGAATGTTATGCTGTCTAGGTGATTGTGCTTGAAATAAAACTTTACTTTTATTAGATTTTTACCCCCCCTCCCCAGACAAGGTACATGTTTATATTCCAGTATTTGGCTGGATAGCTCAGTGAGTTGGTATCTGGCTGCAGAGCCAAAGGTTGGGAGTTTGATTTCCCCACGGTGATTCCTGGGAGTTGAGCCAGATTCTGTAGCTTCGGGCAACCTGCACCAGAAGAAGGAAATGGCAAACCACTTCCGAGTACTCTATCTAGAAGCCCTGGAAAGAGTTGCCGTAAGTCAGAATTTACTTGATCCCCCCCCCCTCTCTCTCACACACACACCATCCACACACACCATCCTAAATACAGGATGTGTCTTTCATAACTTAAGGGTGCACCTCTTCTAAAAATACATGCTAAGTGTACTGTCTGACTTTAAGTCTGTTTTCTACTGCCCTTTTTATTGGGGTGGTGCTTGAATAAACTTGGTTTTCATTGAAATCAATGGGACTAGTCAGTCCTAGTGATATCAATGGGAACTACAGTGGTGCCTCGCTTAGCGAGCTCCCCAGACAAGGTACATGTTTATATTCCAGTATTTGGCTGGATAGCTCAGTGAGTTGGTATCTGGCTGCAGAGCCAAAGGTTGGGAGTTTGATTTCCCCACGGTGATTCCTGGGAGTTGAGCCAGATTCTGTAGCTTCGGGCAACCTGCACCAGAAGAAGGAAATGGCAAACCACTTCCGAGTACTCTATCTAGAAGCCCTGGAAAGAGTTGCCGTAAGTCAGAATTTACTTGATCCCCCCCCCCTCTCTCTCACACACACACCATCCACACACACCATCCTAAATACAGGATGTGTCTTTCATAACTTAAGGGTGCACCTCTTCTAAAAATACATGCTAAGTGTACTGTCTGACTTTATGTCTGTTTTCTACTGCCCTTTTTATTGGGGTGGTGCTCAAATGAACTTGGTTTTCATTGAAATCGATGGGACTAGTCAGTCCTCGTGATATCAATGGGAACTATTTCACGTTAGACAACAGAACCTAGTTCCAACTCTAAGTGGTTCTGAATTGCAGTTTCATGAGTCGCTCTGAGCATCATGCCTCTATTGTGCAAAATGGCAGCAGAAACCTGTGTAAACAAACTCTAACATTCATAAATGTAGCTGGTTATAATTTTGCCTTCTTGATAAATTTCATCATTCAGCTGTTAAGTAGCCAGCTTCTGATTTTAGAGGAAGAGTTCAGGATCGGTACAATATTCTTCCATTTAATTCAGCGGAACATTAAAACACCAGTTTGATATTACTCACCCTTCACTGATCCTTAATGTTACTGTTCTAGGCTCTTGTGGAGGCTTATTTTGCCTTGTGGTGGCATTATTACCATTTGAGATGAAATTAGTGGAGGAAAATTCTTGGTAATATACATCTTCTACATCCAGTATCTTACCCAGACTATCAAAAACACAAAAAAACAAACAAACAAAAACACAAGACAATCTTACCTGCCTTAAAAGATTCAGAATTACATGCTGTACTTTTATTAGAACATTGCAATACAAGTGTGTGGCCACAAAGATACACAATGGAAGATGTGAGAAAAAAGCATGCGGATTGGGAACCAAGTCTCAAACTCCTCCCCAAAGTGTGGCCCACCCCTATGCATGTTTACTGAGAACTCAGGGATTGCAACAAGGACTAGAAACATGTAGCATTACAGATGTTGTTGAGTGGGAGCTCCAGTAATCTCTCATCATCAGTCATGCTGGCTAAGAGCCATAGTCCAACAATACCGGGAGCCCCATGTATTATCCACACCTGCTTAAAGTTATCCTTATCATTTTTACTCAGACGTAACACCCCTCTGAATGCAACAGGGATCCTTTTCAAGGCAATGGGGACAGGACGATAGTTTTACTTGCATCTTAAAAAGAACCAAGATGTGCCAATGTCTAATAGGAATGGCAGAGAATTCAGAGTGAGCTACAACAGCCACCAACATGTCTGCGAGACGTCCAAGACATTTTGTTGCCTGAGGCAAAGCAACACACAACGACTCCATCATCCTAAATCAAGCTGTACAGCATCCAAGACCAGCTGAGTTATTTTGGTGCATAAGGTAGACAATGCTAAAGGTGCTTCTCCCCATCTGTGGCAGTAAAAATACAGATTACAAAGTAAACAACAATCTGTTGGCCTTTCTTAAGCTCCCAGATCTGTTGCCTAAGGTAGAGGCCTCATTCTGGCAAAAGAAGAGCTGGCTCCTAATGTGTCATACAAACAAAAGATCCATCTGTTTGTTCCAAAGATCTATCTCATTTTAAACTCATATGCCTTGAGGAAGCCCTGTAGTAGAGTGTGCAAAACAGTCTTCCCCATTATTATCTCCCAACATCTGGTGGCACACTCTTTTAAAATGTGGAGGTTCTACATGGGCTGTATACGGCTTGATTGGTTAAAACGGGATCATGTTAATATACTTGCTCTTTATGAGTCCCAATTTTCTGAGACCAACCACAGCAACAGGCTATGAAAAGGTGCTGTATTTTAAGGATCATAACTGGAAAGTACTCTAAATATTTTATCAGTCTCTGAAAACATTGTCCTTGAGTGTCCCACACATGAGGAGGTGCACAAGCTTGAATAGAAGCTATGTAGCCTCAAGTCTTATTCCTGGAAAAGAAAGCAAAACACTAATTTTCTGAAATGTCCCTTACAGTTCACAGTGATGAACTTTTTGGAAACTGTACAGCAAAACGTGCACCCGTTGTACTTCAGAGCTGCGCCAAGCCTGAAAGACTTTAAAATTGCAGGGCAATTTCCACCAAACCATTCTTACTTATATAATTAGAACAATATTAGGACTCCCTTCATAAGCCCCTGTTTATGCATTTAACACCAATACACATTTTACATGGCGGTTTTGTATGGATTAAACAAGGTTTCTGTTAAAACCACAGCTGCAAGACATTTACATTCAGACTCCAGTGTTTTGCGATATCACTGAAAATGTGACATTATCAGGGTATGTCAGGCTTCAAAATGAATGAATGGCTTAGTCTGATCAATAAGGAACAAAGAGATAACTGCCATCTGCATGCTTAACTGTTTTGGTGCTGGAGTAGAGACCAGTTAACAAAAGAAATGGGAACTGGTTGCAATAACGTGCTATCCATAACCTACAGCCCCGATGTTTCTGTTCTATAGACTATTAGGAGAGATCAGAGAAGGAAGGTGTGCCGGGGCTGGTATAAGGAGGCTTAAGCCTGCAATGGGTTCATTCGAAGGGATGCAACTTCCAGCAGCAAGCTGATTGAAGAACAGAATTGTATAAATCCAACTGTTAGCTCCAACCTGAATAGACTCCCTGAACACACAGGACTGGTTACATCAATACTTATGTCAGTTCCATCGACACAGTGGATCTACTGTAGCTGAAACTTAATGACTGGATTTAGCTTAGTGTCTTTATATTACGCAGTGCATTAAATCTGAACCACGGGAACTCCAAACATAACTTTATTTGTCAAAAAGCAGCTACCAGTGAGGGTGTCAGGGATGTGGTATAGGGAGGGAAGAAAGGTAGAAGGCCCAACACTTTTCTCTGCATCAGCATTGTGTTCCAACCCAGCTATGCTATATGCCATGCAAGAGATACGTACAACTGATGCTTATTTTCTCTGAAGTGGAAATATAAGGCTCACTGTTGTTTTTGACTGAGTTTACTTATTTATTTGCTTGTTTTATTGATAGGCTGCCTTTCTCCTGATAAGGCGACCCAATATTATTTAATTAAAAAAAGAGTATGAGCCATAAAAAAGATTATTGATATGTATGTGATGCAACTAAGAACCCTGATGTAAGAATAAACTGACAGTTCAGGACTCAGCAATAAGTCCCTGTCTTTCAAAAGAACAACCCATTTTACCCTGCATACAGTGGTGCCCCGCTTGACGATTACCCCATTTTATGATGAAATCGCTTGACGATGAGGTTTTCGCGATCACTATAGCAATCGCAAAATGATGATTCAGTGGGTTTTTCCCATTTTACGACGATCGGTTCCCTGCTTTGGGAACCGGTTTTTCGCATTACGATGATTACAAACAGCTGATCGTCGGGTTTTTAAAATAGCCGCCCGCTGTTTTCCGGACCTATTTCCGGAAGACAGCGATGCAAAATGGCTTCCCCTATGGAGGATCTTCGCTGGACGAGCAGGTATTTCCCCCCATTGGAACGCATTGACCGGTTTTCAGTGCATTTCAGTGGTTTTTTTTTCCCGCTTGATGAATATTTCGCTTAATAGCAATTTGCCTGGAATGCATTATAGTCATCAAGCGGGGCACCAGTGTATATTGCTTTCCAGTAACGACAGAGCAACAATACTGATTTCCTTAAATATATGTGAACAGCATACAGTATCACATTTCACCTTACTTTAAGGCAAAGAAAATACTGCTGGATAGCCCAGTGGTTTAGGTATCTGGCTGTGGAGCTACAGGTTGGGAATTTGATTCCCCACTATGCCTCCTTGACATGGGGTTGACTCTATGATCCCTTCCAGTTCTGCACTTCTAAAATGATGATGATGATGATGATTACCTGCTTTTTCTTGGTTTCCGCTTTTCATCTTGAACTGATTTCTGAAAGCATAATTTTTGGAGTGGTTACAATTGTGGCCAACACAGTACACATTCCTTATAAATGTTAGTTTACAATCCTTTCCTATGATGCACAGATAAGGGATGGGTGGATCTGTTACCTGTGTATCGCAGAAAAGAACGCAGCCCATTTCGGTTTCACACATGATTTGGATACACATCTATTTAGTTCTGTTTCCAAATTATTTAATTATTTCAATAATTCTAATCATTCAATGAAAAACACAGGAAAATCCACAAATACTTAGATCCACGGGCCAAGCTTGTATGCCCCAATCAGCAATTTTTTCCTCTTTGGTAGTTCCCTGTGCACCATAACAAATCACCTGTTTTAGAGAAACCCTCTCCTGCAGTTTTTTGGCAATACCTTTTACACATTGGTCCTCAAAACCAGAATCTGGCCATTCTCACACACCCCTGCCACAGATGTGCATCCCATCAAGGTCTGATGACCTTCCTTTCTTGACACAAAAGTGAGCAGAGTTTTCCACCCAACGAAATGGCTGAAATGTGCAGCTCTATATGATCAAGAACCTTGTTTCATTGTCAGCGCAAGTGACTTGACAGTACATAATAATTCAGTATTCCATTTTCTGTACTATTTATTTCAAAGATGCCATTTCCCTCCTTTCTTCTCAACCTTAACCTCCACAGAATGAAACTATGCACCCTACATATGCAAACTGATCTTAAAGATGACATACATCATAAAACAATCCTTAGACAGTTCTATTGCTTTCTTATCTCCAATGGCTTTTTCAATTTCTCCATATAAAACAATGCTGGACTTTCGGAAATTATATTTCAGAGCATTAAATGGGTTTGATCTGCATCTGTCTTGCATCAATTTGAGCCACAAGTTCACTTCATTAAAACCTGGTTTTTAAACCAGTTTATACTGGACAAAGTAACAATTGTGCATGCAATCTAAGACTGAGTTTTAGTGGGAAGGGGACTTCACAGCCTATTATAACTACACCTTGCCACTAACCTATTTGTAAAGTCCCTTTTCCTGGGCTTCAAGTAACTCCCACTCTCCCCAGGCTATGGAACATTCTCCCTCGGGAGATCAGGATGGCTCCTTCCCTTTTATCCTTCCAAAAAATGCTAAAGACCTATCTCTACAGGGAGGCTTTTAGCAATTACAACTGAATCCCTGAACCCCATTTTAATCTTTTCCATGTTTTAATCTTTTAATTTTATTTTAAATCATATACTGTATTGTTATTTTGTCTTTTAATATTTGACTTATTGTGTTTTTAATTGAGTGAATTTTAATGTTCTGAGCCGCTTTGGGTCCCTTGTTGGAAGAAATGCAGCATATAAATAAAGCTAACAAAAATAATAATACTAATAATAAAACTAAAAGTACTACTACTATACACTTTTTCTGATCCTGACCTTTGGCCAGCATGGTGGATTTCAGTCTCCCAAGGTGGTTGAAACTGTAACATCTTTATTTCTTTTAGTCTTCTGATTGTAACTGAAGTTCCAAAACTGTAAGTAAAGATGCTTTTCTTTTCTGCTTATGCTACTTGTAGAGCGATTTTTATATACAAAGGGCTAATCACAGGGTAGAAGCTGTGACTTTTAGCTATTATCCTGTGCTGCAGTTTTTTCTTTTTCTTTTTCTTACTTTATGTTCTGCCAACTAAAAGGAATCTACCAATAATTCCTCAAATGCTGTGGAAGTATGAAAACAACTTGCTGGATTATACAGCAGATTGGCCGACGTGCATCCCAAGCTCATTTTTATTGTCCCTATTTTCTTGCTCTATAGCTGTACCACTGACAAAATGGTGCTACCCATCCTCAGAAACAGGAAGAAAAGAAAGAAAAAGAACGAAGAAGTCAAAATCCAAGGTTTTTTGCTTTCTCTTTTGCAAGGCAAGGACAGAGCTCTTGGCATTTTTGTGGCAATAGGAGTGATGGCAGAAGATCTGGCAGTTGCGTTACCAGTGCAGCCCTCTGATCTTAGGAAATTCCAGACTCCCCTTCCTGCCACACAGTGCAAAAATATAGGACAGAGACCAAGATGGACACTGCAGATTGCAGTGGCTAAGAAGAATTTTGTGCCCAGTAGCCCAATGATTCATTTTCCAGTAAGCTGTGGCACTAACCAGCATAACAGACACTTCAGTCAAAAAACATCTGAAGGGCCACATGTTCCCCAACCTAGCTCTTGATTATGACCCACTTGCTGTGCTGGTAGAACGATAGGGGACAGAATGAATTGAAGGGTGGAGTATAAGGAGCATGTGGGCTGCATGAACTCATCTACTGGCCTGACAAAAGGCCCAGATACTCTCTAAAAGTGCAGGTTACAATTTACCAACCTCGGAAAGGTGAAAGGCTGAGTGAATCTTAAGCTAGCTATCTGGGATTGAACCCAGATTGTGAGCAGAGTTTTGGCTGCAGCACTGCAGTTTAACCACTGTGCCAGGAGGCTCATATGAAGTCCAAATGCAAAAGAAAGTGAAACTGGCAAATATTCCCATCCCTTTCTATGGCCAGTCCTGAATAGCTCAATAATCTGGGGGCAGTGGCTAAAGAGTGAAGGGTTGGGGGTGGCTCCTGGGAGAAGAGCTAGCCTTGGGGGAGTTACATGGTCAAAGAGCAGTCCTAGAAAAATGGAAAAACCACTTATGAGTACAGTGGTGCCCAGCATAGTGATGATAATCCGTTCCAAAAAATTTGTCGCTATGTGGATTTGTCGCTATGCGGGGAAAAAAAGCCCATAAGAACGCATTAAAACACATTTAATGCGTTCTTATGGGGACAAAACTCACAGCTATGCGGAAATCCTCCATGCGGCCACCATTTTCGCTGCCCGGTAAGCAAGGAATCCAGGCAGAAATACAGCGGGCGGCCATTTTCTTTACCCGGCGGCCATTTTGGAACCGCCTATCAGCTGTTAAAAAAACATCGCAATGCGAAAATCGGTAAGCGAAATGCTTACCAATCCTCGCAATGTGATGTTTTACCATTAAAAACATCGCAATGTGATTGCATTAGCAATCGCAAAAACGTCGCTATGCGGATTCGTCGTTAAACAGTGCGCTCATTAAGCGAGGCACCACTGTATATTATAGCTACTTATGAGTATATTATAGCTAGGAACCCCTGGAAAGGGTCATGACTGGAATCAACTGGACTGCGTGCAATTATTCCTATTATATCTATGACCAGTGACAGTTCCACAGATTATTATGCACCTCTCTGCACATTTAAATCTGCAATTCTGCTTTAACCTCCTTAGCATTTAGGGCAAACAATACAGTGTGACCTGCCTGGGCATGCCAAACAGCATGGAAAAGAGGAGCCTATTTAGATGATCAGGCACATTTGGAGGGAGCTGAAGATTTTCATGTGGACTTCATTCACCACACTAGCACCCGTTACATCAAGGTAGTACTTGGGATTAGAAAAGGCATTGCAGCGTGATCATGGTGTTTCTCTATTGCTTTTGCTCTTGGACACTCTATTACAGCACAAGATACTGTGTGACATCACAGTGGGAAAGGGGAACATACAATGTAAAGATGGTACATCATATTTATTGCAGCAGAGGTTGCAAAAAACAAGAAGTGAAAATACCTGAAATGGCTGCTGGTTCATGTCTGTTAGTTGAGGGGCCCAATTCTGCTCTCCCCCTCTCCTTTAAATCCTTTGCTATAATTTTGTTTGAGTGCCAGCAGTCTGACTAAGCAAATGCATTCTGTCACCTGCTGCTAAGTAGGTCAATAGTATGCAAATGCCTCTAGCAAGTGGGCTTAATTGCTCTTAAGAGGAACCTAGGGAAACAGCTTCTTCAATTTCCTTTTGACACAGCAGATCACACTTTCCCCTCCTTTTAGCAGCACTGGGTGCCAGATTCAAAATGCTGTTTGACCTTGGAACCAGGGATGACTTTGATGGGTGAGAACTTTCATTTCTTCCTTGCAGTTTTTTTTGAATACTAACAAAGGATGCTGCAGAATACAGCTTTTGCTCAGATGCTCAAAAAGAATGGGATTCTAGTTCAGGAAATGGAATACATTTGAGCACAGATCAGATTCATTGAAAGCAACAGCTCTGCTTTATTGATTTCAGGGAATACAGTCATGCCCTGCTTGACGATTACCCCATTTAACGATGAATCCGCGTCATGATTATGTTTTTGCGATTGCAAAATGATGTTTTAATGGGTTTTTTTCGCTTAGCGATGATCGGTTCCCTGCTTTGGGAACAGATTTTTCGCTAAACGATGTTTTTTCAACAGCTGATCGGCGGTTTTCAAAATGGCAGCCAGCTCTCAAAATGGCCCCCCGCTGTTTTTAGGAGGCATTTTTCGCAAGACAGGCACTGGAAAATGGCCACCCTATGGAGGATCTTCGCTTTATGATGAGGTATTTTGCCCATTAGAACGCATTAGCCGGTTTCTAATGCATTCTAATGGGCTTTTTAATTTCGCTTGACGAGGATTTCGCTTAACAGTGACTTCAACGGCATGGATTATCCTCGTCAAGCGAGGCACCACTGTATATATATAGCATCAAAAGCCAAGATCATCTTTACCTAGGCGCAAATGCAGTAGACCTGAAGAAGAAGTGCCTGCTATAAATTAAGAAAGTAAAGTGGTGCCTCGCTTAGCGAGCGCTCCGTTTAGCGACGAAATCGCTTTGCGATGAACTTTTTGCGATCACAAAAGCAATTGCTTTGCGATGTTCCCTACGGGGGAATTTTGCTTTGCAATGATCGGTTCCCTGCTTTGGGAACCGATCATCGCAAAGCGACCATTTTCGCACAGCTGATTGGCAGTTTCAAAATGGCCGCCGGGTAAACAAAATGGCCACCCACCGTTTTCTGGGATGGATTCCTCGCTTAAAAGGCACCGAAAATGGCCGTGCTATGGAGGATCTTCCCTGAACAGTGAGTTTTAAGCCCTTAGGAATGCATTAGGTTTTAATGCATTTCTATGGGCTTTTTAATATCGCATAGCGACGTTTTCGTTGAACAGTGATTTTTGCAGAACGAATTAACATCGCAATGCGAGGCACCACTGTACATTAAAGTGACTAAGTAACACTAGCTAAGGTTTGGCATGGAATGAGTTGTGCTCTGCAGCCTGCCCCAAGGAATTCTTTTCCATCTGACAAACAAATGCACTGAAATTTACTCTGGGCCAGAGATGCATGGAACAGAGCTGTTACTGTTATTCTTGAAAGCTGTCACACAGGGCCTTACAGCCAAACAGACATTCACAAAACTAAGTGGTGCTCTGCATGCAAGGTGAGAAAACGGGTGAGAATCACCTGTGGCCCAATCTACTTTACTTTGGTCTCATCCTGTGCCTCAGTCTTGGCCAGGGTCCCAAATATATTTCAGAGGTCCCTATGCCTGACTTACATGTATAAGACTGTAATATGTAGAATCCTCGGGATTGTTTAGTGTCTTGGGTTTCTGAGGTCTCCTTGGGCTTCTCTGTGCGGGATGACTGTCCTCTGTTTTGGAGGCAGCTGCAACAAAATATTAACAGACAAGCAAGGATTGTTAATAGAGGCAGCATTTCCTTTACACAAGAGACACACTTTGACATACAATACGTCTGTTGGAAAAAAATAACTGCATATCCAGTTCCAAGATCTAAAGTGCCATCAAAACCTTCGATTCTCTGGATCTATAAAGACACATGTATAATGGGGATGTGGAGGAATCCCCAAGAGATTGCAAAGTAATTGGCTGGTAATAAACATTACTTTAAAACTCTTCTCAGTTCTCCTGTAGCAAAGCCAACCTCCATCACAGCTCATGTATGCCATAATACTACCTACAGCCAGATACCTGTCTGGCTACTGCAAGGTAAACACGAATTGCTGGTGAGGTTGTGAAGACGGAAGACTGCTCCATAGACTTTTATCAATAGCAGGGAATGTGAAAACATCTGTCATGGTACCATAATAATTGATGGGCCCTCCTTGATCTGACTGTGGCTACTGTAAAATGTCTTTGCAAGATTTACATTTCTAAATTAAAAATCTAAAGAGTGTCTTTTTAGCTGGCCTATGAGCTTTCCTTAAAGTTTGTTGTGTTTTATGAGCTGAGTTTATACCGTCAAGAGGAAGTGCAATTAATGAGGCTTACTCCCAGGTAAGTACCTCTAAGAACGCACTCATGTTCTGCAGACCTGACTGTGAGAATTTGTTAGTGGTCAGCTTATTCTGAATGCCCATGTAGGAATACAGTTTTTAGCCAAAACATCAGTCCTCTTAAGTACAGTATATATAATACATATTAATCTGAAGTGTTTTGACTCCTGTGTGTATTTTTTTTTAATATTTTAACTTGTAAAGTGCCCTGAGAACATTGGCAAAAAGATGGCATATCAATGTTATCAAGTGATAATTCAGAAAATACTTGGGGAAATATGTTTAAAAAGGATTTCTCTCATTCAGTCTTCCAGTGCTAATTGCAGACTGACAGATCAGTCTACTTGTGTTATATATCAGTTTCACAAGTGTTCATTCATAAGTTCAGACCTTCCTGTCTCTGCAGATATATGTGAATTATTATTTTTTTAAAATACAGAAAAAGTTGAATATATTTCTTCATACAGTATTTCTATGCATATTTTATCCTTAAAACAACACATTTTGAAGCATAGTGGTAAATTTCTAGCCAAGAATTATGTTGCAGTATTTGGAAAAGTGTGAAAATGGAAGGTTAACGGTGATCCAGTGCACATATTAGTCTGGAAATGTGAATCAAGTTGGATCTCTTAAAGATGCAGATTGAACCAAGTCTCAAGAATCCCTAGCCCTACTTCACATTCTAATACATTTATTAATCATTCTGTCTGTAAGTATGCTGTGGTTTTAGCCACCACAGGACCTTATAATCCAAATGGCACTGCAGAGAAACAATACGGATACGTTCTTTAATTATATATGCCCATGTCTAGGACATGTTACCAGTTCTGCCCTATACTTTGATAGTACTGTAGATGATTTAAAAAGGAATATTTGAGCTTTTCAGAAATTTCTTCAAAAAATGTAATAGGTGAGAGAAATAAAAAGAATGGATTTAAACCTAACTGCTATTCCCAAATGGAGCAGTCTAAGAGAAGAATAATAATTGTTTGCGGTCAAGTCAATTTTGACTTAGGGCAACCCATTTTCGGGGTTTTCCAGGTAGAGAATACTCCAAAATGGCTTATCATTCTCTTCTTCTGGGGGTTTCCTAGGACTCTGCAGCTTTTCTAAAGTGCCATAGTCTGGCTCTACTTGCAGGAGGCACAGTGGGGAATTGAACTCCCAACCTCCGGCTCCGCGGCCAGATACCTAAACCACTGAGCTACAAATACATAAATCCTATTGATTTAATAAACCTACTCTAGTTGGAATTAAGAATTAAATTTATACTACTAAACTGAATGGATGCCTAAGAAGTACAGTGGTGCCTTGACTTATGAACGTCCCAACATACGACCATTTCGAGTTACGACCAGCTCGGTCTACGAAATTTTGCTTCAACTTGCGAATGGAGCTTCGAGTTAAAGGCAGGGAAAAAGGCAGGGAAAAAAGGCGGGGAATTCAAATTGCTAACAGTTGGTGGCGAAGAGGCTGCTTCTTTGTAGCTCTTTCACCCTAGCAGTCAGAGAGTGTGCAATTGGAGGAGGCTTCGGACTGCGTGGCAAGATGCTGCTTTCTACTTTTTAAAAACTGTTCTGGGTGGGTTTTGCAGCATGGTTTTGGGCTGGGTGGTGGGATTATGTTTCTGTGCTGTGATGGGTCTTGCAGGGTTTGTTTTTCCCCCCATTTCTGATGGGTGTTGCACGGTTTGTTCCCCCCCCCCCGATTTCCAATGGGCCTTGCGGGGTTTGTTTGCTTTTTGCTTTGCTTTTTTTTTTTTGCATTTCCGAAGGGTCTTGCACGGTTTGTTTGCTTTCTGCTTTGCTTTTTTGCATTTCCAAAGGGCCTTGCATGATTTGTTTGCTTTTCTTTTTCCCCCCCCTTCAGCCGGAATGGATTAATCACATTTCTAATGGGTCTTCCAGTGTTTTGTGGTGGGTTTTTCTGGTGATTTTTTCCCCCTTCGGCCGGAACAGATTAACTGCATTTCAATGCATTCCTATGGCAAATGGTGCTTTGACTTACGACCATTTCAAGTTACGACCGGAGTTCCGGAACCAATTAAGTTTGTAAGTCAAGGCACTACTGTACAACAGGGAACATCTGAAAGGGATAAGACGTTTATTGATATAAGAAGGATGGTCCAAAAACCTGGCTTGCTTCGGGTCCTCAGTTAAGAACCTGAAAAACAGGATTTTTTTGCTACAACTCCCAGGTTCCCAGTCAACAGCAGTTATGCTTGTTTGGGGATTCTGGGAGGTGTAGTCAAAAATAAAATTTAAAAGCTCTTTGCCAATCAGGTATCTGAAGCAGTGTTCATCACACAGTTTTTCAATAGCGGGGAAGTCTTTTTCTGCTGGCCAACGAGAAACTCCAGTGATGTCATTCCACTGGTCTACCCAAATAAAGCATCCTGGAGGTCTGATGTTTAGCTTTTTACTTACCATCTTAAGAATGAAATTACATACTGTAATATGAAAATAAAACATTACAGAAATCAGCATCATTTTAAAATGACAAATATAAAGCTGTGGGGTGAGTCTCTGTTTGCACTATGCAATGCACCCAGGACCAAAACATTCCTACACACACAACACACACACACACACCCCGACAAAACAACTACAGAAGGATGAAGGAAACTGGACCAGGACTTTGCACCTCCAACTCTAGTTTTCTGTACAGACACACAAAGAACAGTTTTACAGAGAAATATCAATCCATTCAAGCACAGCATTTGAAGTTTTGTAGGTCATTTGGTCTATCCCTCTGAGCCATTTTAAGCTCTGCAGTGCAAAATGCAACTGTGGCATCCCTGAAAGGTAAGCTGTCCAACCTCCACCAATGAAGCACCCATCACTTCCTGTAGCAGTCTGTTCCTATGTCCAACAGCTTTGACTGTTGGTTGGTTTCTCCTAATGTTCAGCCACAACCTGTTTCCCATCAATCACCGTCCATCAGTTCCAGCCTCGCTCTCTGCAGCAACAGGAAACTAGTTTGCTCAAACTTCTGTGGGACACCCCTCCAGATATTTGAAGAAGGCACTCATATTTCTCCTTAATCTTCCCTTCTCTAGTCTAAACCTAGGTAAAGGTAAAGGTTCCCCTTGACAATTTTTGTCCAGTCGTGTTCGACTCTAGGGGGCGGTGCTCATCCCCGTTTCCAAGCCATAGAGCCAGCGTTTGTCCGAAGACAATCTGCCGTGGTCACATGGCCAGTGCGGCTTAGACACGGAACGCTGTTACCTTCCCACCGAGGTGGCCCCTATTTATCTACTTGCATTTGCATGCTTTCGAACCACTAGGTTGGCGGGAGCTGGGACAAGCGACGGGAGCTCACTCCATCGCGTGGATTTGATCTTACGACTGCTTGGTCTTCTGACCCTGCAGCACGGCTTCTGCGGTTTAGCCCACAGCACCACCGTGTCCCAAGAGTCTAAACCTACCCGGGTTTTAAAACCATTATTCCCAGGACAATTTGTGGCAGGGAACCTCCACCTGTAACCTAAAAGCAGGCAGCTGTGATATGACTGATGCAAAACTTAGAATGATTACTTTTTAGGACAAAAATTCCAAGGCTCTACCAATGAGTCAGTGGTGGTGGTGACTAGTGAATTTTTCAAACTCTCTCTCTGAAGTTCTTTTTGTGCTCTGTCTGGGTTGCACCTGGGATAAGTGGTGCCTTTGTCCAATTCATTTCACTACTAACAAGTTGCTACATGTTAAAGAACCTGATAGTTGGAAGGGACTCTTCCATCCACCAGATATTCACTGCATTCACCTTGACACGACCTATAATAGGAAAAGAAAATTTGCTCTCAGATGTCTCAAAAAGCTTGTTATCCCTGGTGGTAAAGGAAAATGCTATTCTGCCACCCTCATAATACCATTTTAATTAAGAAAGTGGCACAAGCATTTATAATCAGAAACAATCAGCAATACATCAGCGTAAGTACCAGCACAATTAGCTGTGTAACTTTTGCTTTGTTATATGTGATAAATAATGCCTTGGAAAGGTCACTGATATATTGGAGGACAAGAAATAATCTTAATTTATAATATAGCTAAATAATGAATAGATTTATTGTTCTAGTTTCTTATCTGGAATGCAGATGGGTCCTAATTTAATGAATGGGCAATTATCTTTCACCATTTTGTATTTTGAAGAACAATGGTGCTTTTTCTTATGCAAGGGGCAGTCAATTTGCTAGAGACAATGAAATTTCAGTGCACTTAATTTATTTTACGATACCGAAAGCAAATATGAACCAGAGTCTTTCACTTAAAAGCAGATGTGCAGAACAAGATTATAATGTCATTTAACACTGTTTCACTGTGTTAAAACTATATACATACTCTCTAACTCGCTCTTATAGGAACTGATGTAGT